CCAAAATTGCATAAAACTTGACCCTACATCCATCAAGAGTACTTTTCTTGGGGATGCCATCAACAAAAAGGGGTATAAGTGCTACTTTAGTGTTACCAAAAAATATTACAACTCCATTGATATCACATTTTTTTTAAAATAAATCCTACTACCTGATATTTGATGTTTAGGTGGAGACACCAAATGAACATACATTTTGCGATGCACTTGATAATACATACATGGCCTCACCATCTACTCCACCAAGCCCTCTTATCCCAATTGAGGATGGCCCAACCACCGTAATCAACCGAGCCTAAAAGTCCAAAATAAAAAACTTCATGTGTACATAAGGAGGAAGAAAAACCTTGGGCAAGTGAAAACAACTTGTACTGCTTAAACCAAAACTTGAGCCAGCATTCATTTGAAATTTCGAGTAAGATGGATGATACCAAAGTCAACCCAAACTGCAACAGGATAAAAAAATAAGGTTACTAAACACAAAGAAGTGGTAACAACTAACGCACTTAAAAGGGAAAATACAACAACATACCAAACAAACACAACTAGAGTGTACCCTAAGGATGGTGATGATTGGCAAGGGTTTGGAAGGTGGTGTGGGGGTTGGAAAAGATTGTTGGCAAGTAGAAAACAGCAATGTGATTATTTCCCCGGTGTCGGACAGCAAGCAAACAACAATGAGTGATGTGGAAGAGTTGTCCGGGGTGATGGCAGCAAAGATAGAAGGTTGAAATGGTGACGGCAACAAAGAGGAGTCCGACAATAGCGAAACAGCTGGAAAGAGCGAGCATAGGTTGAGGCAGCAAGGGAGGAAGCCAGTGAGAGCAAACCGCAAGCTGAAATGGAGGAAACAGCAAGTCGAGCAGATAGAACAGCAGAAAATAGCCGGAAAAGGCTGTTTTCTGGTAGCTGCAACAAGCGGGAATGATGGCGGGAGTAGCGAAGAAGCGTGGGATTGCTGGACCGAAAAATGGAGAGTTGTCCCAAGGTTGCAAAAGCACAGGGGTGGTAGTTGGACAGCAAAAACGGGCGACTGGAATGAGTGGCAGCAAGATGCTAGGTGGCTGGAAAGAATGGCAGCCCATGGGGGCCGGGC